TATACATATATATATATATATGTATATATATGTATATATACATATACATATATATATACATATATGTATATATACATATACATATATATATATAGGAAAACCTCTTAAAAATGCCTATAGGCTAAATGCTACAGTGTTTTTCCACTGCCACAGACGCACCCACCCGAGGCCGCCTGCCTAGCGTTTTTTGAAACCTCTCTCTCTCTCTGTGCTGATTTTTCCCTTGTGTTTTGATTAATTCAGGAGAGCCTTTTATTGATGGAAAAGTTGTTCCCTACCATGAGAAGTATCATGCATATTGGCTGACAGATCAAGATGATAACAAGAACCAATCACAAAAAATTATTCTGCCTAGAAACAGGTCAAAAAAATTTAGAAGGCGAAGAGATATCATGTATCATGGGTGGAATGGACAGAATAACAGCCACCAACCTGCAAGAGATTTGCTTTCAAGAGATTCTTTTTTTATGTAAACAGAGAGAAAGACTTGTCTTGTGGGAACAATTATAGCAATGATCAAGGTGTGAGGATTCTTCCATCAAGAGGCTATAATTGATGGAATGGAAAGAATAACAGCCACCAACCTGCAAGAGATTTGCTTTCAAGAGATTCTTTTTTTATCTAAATAGAGAGAAGGACTTCTCTTGTGGGAGCAATTAGCAACGATCAATGTGAGAGGATTCTTCCATCAAGAGGTTATAATTGAAGAACCCAGATGGACAAATGAAGCAGGGTGGCATTAAGGCGCTGAAATGGTAATTATTAGGCTTCATACAATGCATACTGACTCACGTAATTGACTTAAATTCAGATGGTTCCTACTAGAGTCAGCGCTACATCTACACTCCACCCAATGCCTAGTTTCGCGTTTCAACACGTCAATTTGTCTTGACAACTCACTACAAGGTTGGAATCATAATAATAAACTATATCAAATGGTTCAAGCTTAGAGCTTGATGTTGGGGTGGGCTCAATAAGAATGACACAGTATAACAGTCCTGAATCACTCACGTGTCAAAGATAGAAAATTTATATATACATTAAAAATATTAGTTTGTGCATAAAAATATTTGTACGCTCGTGTCTTATAATATATGCCTTTGTGGGAACAGTTACTAGACACTTCAATACATGTTATAAACTAATACTTGTGTAGGTGCTCATATGAGGCAGTATTACATTAACACCGACATGAACATTAGTATCTAATACGTATTGAACTGTTTAATACTTTTCCCAAAAACGCAGGTGTGGTAAAACATGTTCATACAACTATTTTTAGTATATAAAATAATATATTTAATAAGGAATATATAAATAAATCTTTGCTATCATTAACACAGTGGCATGAGGAGTGGTAGACTATTCATTCTAATCAAGCATACTCCAAGTTCAAGAACCAAGATTGAACTATTTGATATAACTTGTGATACTTTGACTCTACCTATGTATTGACACACAATACAAGGCCTTGAATGGGGTATTGAGGTATCGCTGCCTAGAGTTTGATAGATGTTCTTTTGAGAAGAAGAGCAGTTAGCAATATGGAAGAGATTGGCGTCCTTGATTCAGGTTTGGTTGTGAACCTCTTTATGTACATCTGTGCCTGCATGTATAAGTGAATTTCAGTTACATATGATTTGAAGTTAGATTGTTTGTATTAACTTTTTGAAGGATTTATATCCCTATTGCTTATAAGGGAGTGGTTAAGAATTTAGTACTTGCTCATGTGACAGGCTGAAGTAAATTAGTTTAGTTTTTTGAGAAGTAAATTATTTGTTCTTTTGATTAGTAAATTTGCTTACTTATTCATGAAATGAGATTCAGTTGCTACCTTGATATTCCATCCTTGCCTATATCCGTGGATCCCTAGAGAGCAGAATTACACTAATTAGAGACTGCGGTTCCTAAAATCATCCGACATTTTTGCTAGGATCCTTTCACTTCTATCGTGGTGAAGTACTTCATGTTTTACACTTTTTTGAAGTAGAGAGAGAGAGAGAGAGAGAGAGAGAGAGAGAGAGAGAGAGAGAGCGTGTGTACTAACTAGTAAGTTAGTTAGAAGACGAGCGTGACTACGACGTACCTACTACACGTAACTTAAACTTAACTTAACTTACTTACTAA